TATATATCAATTTTTAATGTCTTAATGCCATGGTTTAAAATTCACTCCTCCAAACTTTTGTTTTTATTTTGTTGTTAAGTCTTTAAAAGGAATACAAATATATGATTGTTTAATTTTTAAAAAAACACCATATTTTTCAATGTAAAATTAATATCCGTAATCAATATAGTAAGAAAACTACTGCTTTGCTGGATTCAATTAATAAAATTCTCCTGTGAAATTCAAGTTTCGGGTTACAGAAAGAAGCTAATAACAACTTAAAATTAAATTATTAAGAACTGTCTTTTAAAAACTTCTGTTTTTGAAACTAATCTTTGTAATGAAAAAAGTTCATAACACTTTTCATACTAAATTAAAAATAAAACATTAATAATAAACACCATATTTTTCAATACTCTACAGAAATATTTCAAACTATAAAGTACCGCCAAAAAATATTTTTTCATTCAAATAATAAAAGTATCTACTAAAAATCTTACATTTTTTTAAAAAAAATTCTAAATTAAATTCAGAAAACATAATAGATTGCTTTAAAACAATCTTTCGTTTAAACAAAAATATTTTAAGCAAAATCAGGAATATGACATTAAATTATTTAACAGAATACCAATAATAACCATAACATAATTAAATACCATATTTCCAATACAGTACTAATGAGTATCAAGTAAGGAACCTGATACTTTATTCCATTCAATTAAAAGCTATCTTCTAGATAAAAGGTTTTATAAAATAAAGTTAATAAAAAATAGAGACTTAATGTTATTGTTTAAAATTTAACAAACAGTTTTGTTATTGAACAAAATTCTTATAACGATTAAAAATATATAAAATTTTCTTACTTATTCCCTAATAATAACCGCAAATTAATAAGACACCATATTTCCAATACAGTATTAAATAAATTCAAGCATAGCAAGGTATTAAATGAATTCAAGTAATCAAGTATAGTAAGGAAGCTGGCGTCTTGTTCTATTCAATTAATAAAAGCCATCTTCTCCTGAAAAGCTCAAGTTTCAAGTTTTATCGGGTATCCTGAGAGTAACATTAATTCTGTTACATCTGATAAATATCCCGAAGATCCCTACAGATGGCGTTGTTGATTAATACCTATTTTCCTGAAAAGAGGATTCGTCGGGACCGAAAAGATAGGAATGAGACTACTTTGGCGAGAATTCTGGAGCGGATGTGTTGTGGAGATCACTCCGGCTGGAATACAAGGAAAAGATGGACTTATTGATGAAGTTCTTCAGTAAAAGCACTTGGAGCGTTTTTATCTTTGCCCTTCTTTGCTATGTTTTTGCCATTTGCCCTTGTTTTGCTCAAGGTAAATTTATACAAATAATTTTTCCCAGGTTTTAAATTTATGGTATTGTGTGCGTAAAATATTGTGCATTAAAATATGTTGAAAATTTTAGACATGTATTTTAAATTATTAAACTTTGCAATATTGATTTTGAAAAAAAATAATAATCAAAATGTACATAAAATAATTAGCCTCTCTAACTAAGAAACTTTTGAAGGTTTTAGCTTTTGTAATAAAAAAAAATGTTTTTTTCATCATTTAGAGAATCGTCACTGATGATCGTAAATTAACATTTGAAATAACGTTAATCAGCTTTTTTTGCATTAACTTTTTATTCGTTTTAAATTGTAATAGTATTAAAAAAATTTTTGAATTTTACTTTGAAAAAGAGAATTTAGTTATAAATAAATAAAAATCAGAGTTAAGTGTTTGAATTATAAAAAAAGACGTTAAATGATAATTATCTTTGTTACATTAATTTCTAATTTGAATTTAATGTTACAACTTTAATTCCATAACAAAAGAAATGATCCAGAGACTTTCTATTTAAGAAACATTTGAAGCTTTTAGTTTTTTTTTGATAAAAAAATGTTTTTTCCTCATTTAGAGAATCATCGCTGATGATCGAAAATTAACAGTTAAAATAACGTAAGCTTTTTTTTGTATTAACTTTTTATTTGCTATAAATTGTAGTAGTATTAGGGAAAATGTTTAATTTTATTTTGGAAAAGACAATTTAGTTATAAAATAATAAAAATCAGTGCAAAGTGATCGTGTTATAAAAAAAGACATTAAATGATAATTATTTATGGTACATTAATTTTTTATTTGAATTTAATGCTACAATTTGAATTCGATAACAAAAAAAATTATCAAGAAACTTTCTCGTCCGAATTATTAAACAATAAACCTAATAAACCCGCAATGTTTCCTATCGTAAAGAGATAATGACTCATATTTTTCAGTTGTTACTAATTTCATGCGCTGAGAACATTTTTTTTTTAAATGGGTGTATAGCTTTTGATTTAGTTGTCTATATGAAACCATAGTGAGATTTATTAATTTTCAGGTATTTCGAATTTTTATGCTGATGAAATATATACGCATGATTTTCGAACATGACGAATGTGCGTGAAATATATATAAAAAATAATCAAGAAACTTTCTCGGCAGAATTATTAAACAATGAACCTAATAGACCCGCTTTGTTACCTGCCGTAAAGAGCGAGCAACTCAAATTTTTAGCTGTTACTAATTGCATGCGTGGAAAATATTTGTTTTTTTTTTAAGTTTTTTAAATGTGTGTATATTTCTTTTTTAAAATTTAGTTGTCTATATGAAACCATAGTGAGATTTATTAATTTTCAGGTATTTCGAATTTTTATACTGTTGAAATATATTCACATGGGTTTCGAACATGACGAATGTGCGTGAAATATATAGAAATATCAAGAAAATTTTTCGGCAGAATTATTAAGCAATGAAACTACTAGACCCGCGATGTTTTCTGTCGTAAAGAGAGAGCGACTCAAATTTTTAGCTGTTACTAATTGCATGCGCTGAAAATATTCGTTTTTTTTAAAAAAATTTTCTTAAATGTGTGTATATTTTTTTTTAAAATTTAGTTGTCTATGTGAAACCGTAGCGAGATTTATTAATTTTCAGATAGTTCGATTTTTTATACAGATGAAATCTATGCACATGGATTTTGAACATTACGAATGTGCCCGAAACATATGTACGCGGGCTTCAGATTACTCTTTTTAACAAAATGCTGATAGTTTCAAAATTTTACCGTATAACTTTGAAAAGTCTTTTTTACTGTCTCTACATACTGTCTCTAAATAAATATGCATTTTTTTCGTTGGGTATTTATGCATGATCCTATACATTTGACGAAATGTGTTCCTATTATAAGTTATAAAATGTGACCCTGTTATAAATGACGAAATACCTCCCTATTGTAAATGACGAAATGTGACCCGGTTACGAATGTCGAAATACAAATTTAGAACGTATTCAGTCGAAAAATAACTGATTTATCCAATTTTTTAAAAAGGCAGAACTTTAAAATTTGATTTCCCGAGAACTTTTAGATTGATTTCATTCAAAATTTGTATTTTGAATGAAATCAAATATATACTGTATAAAATTATATACTGTAAAATTATATAAAAATGTGTATACTATACAGTTAAATTTTCTTAACTATTATTAAGTAAATAACAAAATAGTATATAAAAATTATTTTTACGCTGAAATATTTCTAGATAAATTAATTTTATTTAAGCGAAAATGTTTCTAATTTCTTAAATATTCTTGAGATATAGCAAAATACGTGCTTCCTAAATAAAGTACAGTGCGCAAACAAGGGCGGTCCATCCTGAATAACTTTTGATATAATGATCGAAATTCTGAAATTCAATCAATGAACTTTTGATAGAAAAACTTTTTTGAAATTCAATTTCTCAGGAACTATTTAACCGATTTCAAAATTTTGCTCGAAATTTGTAGTTTGCCTGTACAATTATATTCTTTAAAAAGAAGCAAAAAATTGTATACCTTACAATTTAATATTTTTCGACCATTTTTAAATAATACAATAAAAGGAATAAATATTTACTGAAAATTATTTTTTGCATGGAATTATCTTTGGATAAAGGAGTTTTATAATTGTTTTTTCGAACAATGTTTAATTCACTTAAAATGTTCTCGAGATATGGTGAAATACGCAGAAAGTAAAATTAAAGTTAAGGGGTCTTAACTCTGAAGCACTCTCCTGACCAAATTATTGGGATTATATTTCCTAGATTTCTGCTACCCCCTAGATTTATGGGGGTTAAAAATCCAAATTCGTCGAAAAAAAGGTATGTTTATTCAGAGAAGGTACGTTTTCGTGTTTGACTTCGCATCTCAAAATGTCGCCTGCACTTATTTACCAGCATATTTGGGGTCAACCCTCGAATTATTAAGATTGAATCCTAGAAAGTGAAAATCCGATCATTAGATCAAAAGTTATTCAGAGTAGTTCTCCTTTTTTTGGCCTCTATACAAATTATTCTTTTTTAAGTTTTCAGTCGAAATTACTCATTATTCGATTATTAAGTATTATTCTTTGCGAATGCATTTTTTTATTCTTAATTATTGTGAACTTGTACATTTCGTCTGATAGACATATTGTATCATTTAGCTAAATTAAACTTTAAAAATTGCAGAGAAAAAATAAAAAAAAATAAAATGTTAAGAAGCTTCGACAAAGTTTATAATATTGACTTTGTTTCACTAATTAATTTATGATTTTTAGCTAAATTGTTTCATTCAATTTGTTACCGCAAAGAATATAACGTTAAGTGATGCAATAAAAGGGTTTAAAACTGAACTGAAAACAAAATTGTATTCAAGGAATTTTTTTTGTAATGTAGATTTCATTGAACTAGTGCTTTCTTTCTTTTAAAAAAATGTTTAACAGTTTTGAAACTCATTAAAATTACTTTTAAAATCAAATATATATTTGTCGAAAGAAACTTTTTCCCACTTTTTGTCAAATTCAATAGTAATGACTATGTTTAAATGCTCATTAAAATTATTCAAGAAAATCCATTAAAATGAAATATTTTCACAAAACCATTTTAATTAAAGAAATATTAATAAAAAATATTTTACATTACAAACTTTTTTTTAGGATGAAAACTCGTTAAAAGTTTTGACAAAAACTACTAGTTTACTGTTAGAAAGGATAAATTTTACCAATTGCCAAATTTCTTTTTAAAAAAAATTTCCATAATTTAATACTTTTTAAACTGTTTCTATTTTTTTTTTTAATTTGCTGGTTTATTTATTTATTCTGATCAACTTTGCATGTAAGTTGGAATAATTAATCTGCACGACGTAATAGCTTTTATAACAATAATCAATTCTCATAGAATTACAATGCGAAAACAAATTTAAATTGTGTCGTTTTAAAATAATGGAACATTATTCAAGAGTTTCTTGAGTGCAAACTAATACCACTGAATAATTTTCAAAATTTTTAATAAAATAATTTTCAAAATTTTTAATAAAATAATTTTCAAAACTAGCATTAAAATATTTAAAAATAAAGATTTTTCTGTGGGTCTTCACGTCAAAGTTGCAAATTGCGTATAGCTTATGAAAATCGAGTAATATCGTCTCGGTAAATTTTCATGTATTATATCCATTTTATATAAAGTCAAAAAATGTGTTGTAAAAATTTCCTAGGAAATTTTTTAACGAAAACAGATGAAAAATCAGTGAAAATGGGTTTATTCTCATTGTTTCCCTTTCTTCTTAAACGTCAATATTTTCCACAAAACACGAAGCATTTTGTTTACAAAATATACATTTACTTTAGCTTTACGTCACAACATTTTATTAATGTGTTAATCATAATGTAATAGTCGTTTACCTAGATTTGAAAACTAATTATCTATGCTGTCAAAAATTTAACTTAGGGAATACAGATTGTGATATTTAAGAAGAAGAAATTAATGAGAATTAATTTTACTTGTTGAAGAGACTTATAACAATTTAAATAGGGAATGGTTTTATCGTTATTTATTAATATTTTTTTTATTTTTAAAAACTTGACGATGAATGTTAAGACTAAGATCTAGCAACAGGAAATCTCTATCTTCATATCACTCTCTTGTTACTTTTGATTGACATCTATTCGAGCTTTATAAAATAAAGATCTCGTGTAGGAAATAATCAAAATATAAAGTAAAAAAGATCTGAAAAAATCAAGAAAAAGCCCTTAAATTTGCAATAACTTTCGAACAATAAAGAATTTAAAAAAAAACTTATGTTAAAATTATTGAACAAAATGGAACCCCATCAGAGCGTCAATTTTAACTCTTAAGTTGAAATTTCGGTGAACAGTAGATTGACCAACGCTTTTTTTTAACTACAAGTTCAACAGCTATGTCGAACAAATAATCGAATCGTAATTCTTTTTTATTCCATCGAACTCTTTATTCATTTTTCTACTCTCATTTGTGATTTATAGTCTTATAGATTTTGAGTAACAAAACAAAATGTAACGTAAAGCAAAACGCAAAAAAAAAAGTTTCAAAATAGCTCTAAAAATTACTATAACTTTCGAACAAATCGAAATTTCGAAGAAAAAAAAATCTATGTATTAAGTTTATAAGTCCTTTCAGTGAGCTAAATTTCAACTCTGTTGTTGCATTCCTGCGGTTTGTGCAGAGACCCCTACAATATTTTTTCCAACAAGTATAACAATTTACATTTCTCGAATAAGTTACTGAATGCTATTTTTTTATCCCATTGTAAACCTTACACATTTTTGTACGCATCTTAGTAATTTCAAGTTTCTAAAACATATTTTGTTTTTAAGCAGCAAAACAACAATTTTTTACGACTGCTTGTGATTTTTTTTTATAGAGAGGTCTTATTTAATACTTTTTCGTTTTTGGATTTATTAAGTCTTTGAAAAAAATTTACCTTTTTCCCCCCAAAAAAGCACGTTTTAAAAACACAACTATAAATAAACACGTGGTTTTAGATAACTTTTGACGTCGCACTTATCCGCATGTCATTCACATTAATAATTGAACTTGTAGAAAATAATTAAACATTAAAAAATGTATGATAAAATCGTAAGAAGAATCATTTACAATTTTATTTATAACAGTGGCTAGTTCTAAATTTATGAGGGAAAATTATTTTTCGAGCATTTCTCATGAACGGAATATTCAACGATTTTTCGGATTGGGGGCTAAAAATTGCTCCTCGTAATCGATGTCATTGAGTGACATTGCTAGACAAAATGCTGAGTCAATGCAAAAATAAAGTAGAAAAAATTCTTAGTATTCTTTAAAAATGCATAATAGTGTTCTTCGTAATATGCGTATTTATATACTGGACGTAAATCAAAATTTATATAAATTAGGAATATAGCTTAACAAAACTTTAAACTATCAGTTAATTATTCTTCTAGCGAAACTCGTTTTTGATTAAATAGAGCTGTATATTTTCAAATATCACTGATGTTATCTTTCAAAAAATTGCAAATAAAATGGGTCTGCAGCTTAAATTGTTGAAATTCGTAACGCTGATCCAATGAAAATATTATAACACTTTTTTTCTAAATGGACAAATTAAACTTATCATTATGATATTTTGGACATTGGAGATAAATTTGTCTCTTTTGATCCGTTGTCACAATTTCTGAATCCTAGATCAAACGGTTCGGAATTATGGAAGAGATACATTTTTACTGTTATAATTCAAATTTTATCTTACACATATTCTATCGATTTTAAATGTCAATGCATTTACGAGTTTGAAAAAATTTGGAGTATTATTAATTGGTAATTTTTAAACGCTTAATTTTTGAATGAGATTTGAAACTTAAGGGCATCTATTTTGTTCTGAGTTAGTTTTACCTGCATATTAAGCATTGAAGAATGTAAGTAAAAAATTTTTAGTCTAAATTACAAACTAAAATAATTTAATTATTATTGTTACGGTAAGAAGCGAGATTAATAATTGCCACATTTTCCATTCTTCAGATTTTACATTGTTACGATATTTATCCTGTATGAATAAATTCAATTATTTTAAATCTTTTAAATTGAAAAATTAACAATACACTTGAAACTAATTAATCAAGTTGTTGCTGAATAATTTACTGAGACTAATTATGTTTCGTTTAAAATTCGAGCCAAAATATCGATAATGCATAATACAAAAATCTGCTTTCAATTATTCATAACGAAACAGCCTTATTAAAATGCGACATTTCAATAGTTCATAATTTCATCTATTTAATATTCATCAATAATTCATTAGTTGATATTTTAATATTTAATAGATAGATCGTAATTATTCTATTATATAAATTTAAAATATTTTTAACTTTGTTAATAGATTGTAATATTTCAACACAGTCATTTTAAAAAAATTATCGCACATCCATATATGTATATAGCAATGGTATTTCATCATCATATAAATTAAATATTTTCATAATTTAAAATTCAAAAGTTTTAGAAAATTTAAACTGCAATTTTATGAGCAAATCCGGCGCGCCATAAAAGAAAAAGCTGATATTCTATAAATGCGGAAGGTTCATATAGAAAATGTTAATTGTATGTGTTAATGCAATTATAATATGTTAACGAGGTAAATTATCAATGTTAATTTTCTCTTTTAATCATGGCGTCAAACGAAAGGCATATTTCAGTACTATAAATCAAGAAAATTAACGAAACCAAAAATTTTAATGTACTATTTCTAAAGTCTTCGCCAACTATTTTTTCTTCGAATGCACTTACACTATACACTAAATAGTTTAGCTTACGATTACTTAGTCCAATAAGATTTGAAATTTGGTATAAAATTTTCAAAACTAAATTGATTCTATTTTGTTAAATAAATAAAAAGGTCTTTTCCTGAAAAAACCAATTTTCTTTTCAAACAGTTTGCTATGTAACATTTTCTTGCAAGTTTTTCAATTTTGATTCAGATCAGAGGAATAGGATTATATCATTACATCAAACAGGAGTTTTTCAAGGAAACGCACTTACAGAATACTATTTGGAATCTTCTGAGGGCAGAATAAAAATCGAAACATTGAAACTACTTTTGATACAGTGCTCGTCATTTTGCTAAGATGCGACAGTTTTGAATGGTTATATTGATTTAAAGTATTCGAGTTTACTTCTGAAAATTATATTTCAAGTTACGAAATCAAACATGCCATTTTTTTCGTAGAAAACTTCTAAGAATTTGTTATGCATTTTATTGACATTTTTTATGAATAATAAAAAATTTCAAAAAATTATATTATAATTAAAATCTTTGGTAAAACGAGTTTTATAATTAATAAGGATTTTTTTCACTTAAATCATCGCGAAAATATGATAAACTACGGAGAACTGAAATTTTTTTTAAAATTTATTTTTAATGGCGGGAACTTGGGGGTTGTCCCATTGGCCACAGAAATGCCAGAACTGCTACTCTCTTTTCTTACGGCACCTGTGGCGGAAACCACGGCAGTGGAGCAGCGTCGCCCACGTCACAAAACCACAAACCCGTTTAAAGGGCGGGTCACATTCATACAATCACACACAAAGGAGAAGAGGCATAGAACACAGACAGAAAGAAACACCCATGCCCGGAGCAAGATTCGAACCCGAGACCAGTCGAGTGGCTCCGCAGTCAGGCACGCTAACCACTCGGCCACCAGGTCGGCGAAGAACTAAAAATACCACTAAGAATTTCTAATTCTCGATGGCTCTCCTGCCTAAATTATTGCGACCATCTTTCCAGATTACGGATAACAATATTTTGAGGATTAATTCGAATCCATCGAAAATAAAGTTCATGTTTATTCAGAGGAAGTACGTGTTTTTTTCTGATTTCCTAACTTATATATCCTTTGGTTTATTAATTAGCATATAGATTCTTGAACCATTTCGAATGCACCTTGATACATAATGTTTTAATGATCGTATTGATCATTAAAACAAAAGATATTTTATTTTACAAACGTCGTTGAGCAGCACATCGACCCAATTTTTGGGGGGTTTACGACTATTAATGTTTAACTCCGTAGCCTTGAAATTTTGTACCCAATCCAGAAGACAAGGGAACTCCTGCATCAAGTATTGGGAGAAATTTCCCTTCGTTTAGGACTTTTTCGATAGGACTAACCCACATTTGCGTTACATGGTAAGGAAGACCCCGTAAACCACCTACGACTGCAAGGAAACTCTAATCCTTGATCCGTCTACCACTGAGGATATTTTTCGTTGCACTGCATGTTGTATATATTTAAGCTTTTATGTTGTATGAGTCGAGTGCCGAAGTCGTCTTAACCAAGTATTAAATTATTTGATTCGACCCGGTTCACCTCATTGGAAGGAAAACTCTCTATCCCCTGAGCCACAGCGACTCAAACAAAAGATATTATATTTTTTTGTTAATTTTGTACTCTACATGTTAAAAATATCCAGATTAAATTACGGTAAAAAGTAACGGCACTCAGAGGGTTGGTTCTTTTCACCGTAAAATAAATTTTTAAAGAGCATGTTACGGAACAAAATATCTGATATACCGTAATTTTCACAGTAATAATTATCGTAAAATTACAGAATCACTCAAGTTAAATAAATATAACTGTAAAAATTAAGGTATGATGTTTTACGGTAAAAGTGATATTTACGGATGCCAAGAGTGCCGGTATTTTATACTGTAATTAGATCCGGAATATTTTACAGTGTACTTGCTCTGGTCCTTCTTCATAAGTGAATTTATAATTCGCTCTTCGACTTTTAAACAGAAGTGTCAAAAAATACAAAATACTTACTGACCTCAAATAAAACTCAAAGGACTTTGAATCAAATAATTAAAACTCTACTATTACGTTTAATATAAAAGGAAGAGTTATTAACTAAACAATAAAATTACAGCATCGCAGTTCCAAAAAACAAATCTCTTACTCTCTCAAAAACAATATTTACATTCTAAACTTACCATGGCAACCACAAAAACTCTTCTCGTTGCCATCTTCAAACTGATATATAATAAATAAATTATTTAACAAAAAATACGATGCGCATAAGCATGTAATATTTTACAAAAGCATAAGCTGCGTTCTCAAGATATTTATCAAACTAAACAATCATAAGTTTTTCATAAAAACAGACACAACATTTTACATAAATTATAGTTCTTTCCTTATCTTCAATCATGCACAATTTTTATTTCCTTTATAGACCGTCTTCACTGGTACAGACAAGCAAAAGCTCAAATCCTGAAAAACATGAAGGATCAGGACAATTCAGCCATCGCTAAAAATATCATTTTATTCATTGGTGATGGAATGGGCCTCACAACGGTTACGACGGCCAGGATTTTGAGAGGGCAGCTGAAAGGCCTCAAAGGAGAGGAATACGAGTTGGCTTTTGATAAGTTCCAGTATGTTGCACTTGCCAAGGTAAATTGCTGGATTTTTGCTTATTTTTATCTGATTCATAAAGTGTTGTGTCGTGCGACACAAATCTTAGCATATTTTTTCAGACACGAATGTAAAAAAACTTTCGAAATATTTTCAAATGCTTTGTCTTTAAAATAAAGATGCTGTAACAGCCTTGTAGGTTAAAAATTAATGAAGTACATTGTACTTACTGTACTGTACATTAATGAAGTACATTGTTGAAGTACTGAATATTTAGGAAGCCTGTTTCTGTAATATTCAGATTTCTTTAATATGAAACGTTTCCTATAAACGTTTCTTAATACTTCGGAAGCCTCGTGTTGGGGATAGACTTCCACCATTGTCAACAGTGCTGACGCAAAATATCCTCAATGGTAGACGGATCATGGGTAGAGGATCCTTTGCCGTCAGGTGAACAGTGGGAGGTTACGTGGTTTACCTCTCCATGTAACACAAATACGTGTTAGTTCCATCAAAAAAACCTCCAGAAAGTCAAAATTTCTTCCAATACTTAATCCAGTAATTCCCTTGTCGTCCGGATTGGGTTCAAAATTACAAAGTTACGGAGTTGAACATTAGCAGCCATAAACCCCGAAAATTGGGTAGACTGTTCAACGACGGTTATAAAATAAAATAAAATTACCCTGTATAGCACAAGTCGAAATTTTCCAGAGTATTTTCCCGAGTTAAAGGTAACATTTTCGTTTAGTTTAGTTTTAGCTAAAGGTAACATTTTACCACAACTTTGCTTGTTTTTATTTCTAGTTTGTATTTCTACTAGCGGGAATAAATAAATTGCACATGAAGCGTTTAAAATATACGTGTTATATTCAGACTTCTTAAACTCTGACGTAAGTGCAATAACAAATTAATTTAAAAAAATATTTTCCTTTTTATATTTATGCAATCTAAAACCAAGCATTCCGAAATATGTAAGTTTTACGCATTTCATTCTGTATATTAATATGCATAAATTGTAAAGCATATATATTGTTTAACGTATAATTGTATTGTTGTAAAACGTATCAATTGTATTGTTTTACCTACAGAACTAACTAAACATTTTAACGGAAAGTATAGCCTCATAATCCCCATTTTCAAGATGGAAACCCTAACTCCAAAATTGCACAGAGGCAGATCACAATATAATCAGGAAATAGCTCATACCTACTGTACCTGAATACCATTTTGTGATATTTGTGGTTTGTGGGATAATAAATATGTGACACTTACTTCTGTGACACAAAAACTTATCACAGTTTTAAAATAACAATTAGAACATTCTAAATTTAAAAAATAGTTTTAAGTAACACAAGTATAAAGAGAACTTACATCAATAATCCCGTATTTCTTTGGATTCTAAGTTTAAACTACCCTAATGTAAAAAGATAATTTTTTTTAACTTTGTTATGAATAAACTAATATCTTAATTTGATTATTTTTTCTTCAAAAGCATTTCTTTTTAAATGACGATACTTTCAATTTACAGACATACAACACAGACAGTCAAGTTGGTGATTCAGGCGCATGCGCAACAGCATTGCTTTGTGGAGTGAAGGGACGTTTTGAGACAGTTGGATTGGATGATAGTGGTGTTTTCAACAGATGTGACACTAACGCAAGAGCAAAAGTAGCTTCCTTGGCAGAATGGGCTCAAACAGCTGGTAAGAAAAAACATCAAGGAAAATATTAGTTTCTTCATTTGCTTAATATCGAAGAAAATATAAATTATGTCAGTAACTCACTTAAGCTTATGGTACATTAAGATATGTTGTCATAAATATTGACACAATTATAAAACCAATTGTTCTATCCTTATCTTTTACAGAGAAAATAAAAACCAAAATGGGTTAGATCAAAATGGGTTAGAAAGTTCTCAATTTTGTCCAAAAATTTATTTTGCTATTATTAACGTACAGAATAATAAACATATAAGCACTGCTTGAGGTAGCATTTCAAAAAGCTTGTTTATTTGAAAGAATTTGCATCGTAAAGCTGATGCAAATTGACAAGAGTTGTTCTCTGAAACTCTCTTTTTTATGTATTTAGCTTCTTTTCAAAGATTCTGGTTTTTGAGCTTAAACTCTGCATTTAATAGATCTTAAGAAATATTATATGAAGTCAAAAGGAAAACCAGTCTGCATTCTTGACTAGAAAGTAGTAGATCAGTGAAAAATAATAAGATACCGTCTGCTAGACTAAACAATAGTAATGCCTACATGATCAGTGAAATGAAATAAGAATAAAACACCGTCTTTTGGACTAAAAAAATAGCAATTTCTTCAAGCTCAGTGAAAAAGAATACGACATCTTCAGGCGCAGAAAATAGTGGCTACTACGACGGTAATAATAACGCAGTTTTCTGCATATGATGATGTTATATAATTTGATATATAGTAATATTTATTGCATCTCTTCAGTCCTGTTCTCCAAATTAATGTCCAATGTTTATTTGCATATACAATTTAAGCACACCGGACCAAAAAATAGTCACCCTTAGAGAAATCATGAAAAACATTATTTAATAACATGTAACACCTGCTCTGGATTCGATAACCGCCTGGATTCGGTTAGAAAGTGAGTCCACAAGATTTTGCTTTTACGTCGAATCCAGTTTAAGCTATTCGCTGAGGATTTGACGGCGCAAATCAACTAAATTTCGAGAATGATAAATTCGGTGTTTTACCCGTTGATCCAATATGTTCCACAAATTTTCAATTGGGTTGAAGTCAGGTGATTTTGCAGGCCAGTTGAGATGTAATTGAGTGTCTGAGTGTTCATAAAACCAGTCATATATTCTCCCAGCCCGATGAACTTTGTTATTGTCATCTTGAAAAATAGACGTATCGACAACACACTTTTCATGAAACTGTAGACGGAAAGGCAACTTCTAATCATCCAGAATGTTCAAATAAACATGTTAGTTTATGTTATGGACCACCTCAGTGAGGTGGCTCAATCCATAATAAGAAAAATGCTCTCAAAACATGACAGACCCTCCTTCGTCTTGAACCTGACCTTGCACACAGTCAGGATGAAATGCTTCATCTGCTCTTCGCTACAATCGGCAAAGTGCGTCTTTTGAAAAAAAAGCAAAAACGTGATTCGTCAGACCATATTACATTCCGTCAGCTAGCAACTGTCCACGTTCGGTGATTTCTAGCCCACTGAAGTCGCGCAGCTTTATGTTCATGTGTGAGCAATGGCCTCTTACGATATGTTCGACTCCAATTGTTCACCGCATGCAGCTCCCGTATCAATGTTCTCTCACTAATAGGTTGGGATGGACCCTCATTTACTAATTGAAGCAATTCCTGTCGGCTTTGGAAGCTATTTTGATTGACAAGTCGTGAAACACATCCCCGGCCCCTTTCATGCAGGATCTTTTTCCGACCACAATTCTGACGTCGTCTTTCGTCACCACTGCTTGTAGACACTTTGAATAGTCCGCATCGAAAAACCAACAAATCCAGCAACTTCATTCACTGTATGACCATGATCACGGCCTAACACAATTGCCTCTTTCTGCCACTGTATCACATCCTTACACTTATCCATATTTACACACGATTTCCGCTTCAAACAAAAATATCTCACTGATAGTACTTGCCTGTGATCACGTTGAAGCAATGTGCTCGCAGTTGAGCACGTCACTTGACCACTGCGTCATCTAACAAAACCTAACGATTTATCGGTGCTTGCGCACTAAGGTGACTAATTTTTTGTCCGGTGAGCTTATGAAGTATACCTACTTACTAGTTAACTTTCTTTAGTAACTCGTCTCATTTCCGAAACAGAAACATTAACTTTGTATCTCTATGCTTGATGGCGTTTAAAGCAATTTAATCACGTAGTAAATAGGCTGCATTAGGTTTATGGGAGACTGAAATATTTCTGGACCATAAAAAAGACAATAATGCCAAGAGAATTTCACTGAAGTATTCAAAACTATGACAAAGCAAAACGACGTGAACTACTTCGAACTACATTGGAATGCAAATATGACTTGCGAACTATAAACGCCAATACTTCTTATAATACACTAAGTATAATATTATGTAAATAATATTTTTATGAATATAATATTCTTGTAATACACATAACGGTAAGTTAATAAATATGCAGTTTTTATTTGATTTTATTTAGTATTTCACTCTTTGTTTTTATAGGAAAATCGACCGGACTGGTGACAACAGCCAGAGTCACGCACGCTACACCTGCAGCAATGTACGCTCACTTAGTGAACCGCTATTGGGAAGGGGATGAGAAACTGGCAAATGATACATCAAAAACAGACTGCAAAGATATCGCGAGGCAACTAATTGAAGACGATCCTGGCCGGAACATCAATGTAAGCTGATTCAACATATTACTGAAATGATGCATATTGATAACAATTGATATTTTTTTCAAAGAAGATGACCTTATTTGTTTTAAATTTAAAATGGAAGTAATTTTATCCGTAAATTTACGTGACTCATGAAACTGTAATGAAACCTACACCAAGTACAATAAGTGACTATCATAAATAACATAAGGGAGCAAATTTTTTGTTGCATTTATACAAATTGTACTTGATAATTACAAATTGTACTTAATATTAAGGGTGGGAATTTTAAACCTGACATTAGTTTTTCTCCTAGAGCTACACTTTTTTAAATGACATTTTTAGTCTATTTTTGTCAAAATCTGCAAGTCTAAAAACTTTATATAAAACAGAGGGTAGCGTAAATTGTTGCGACAAAATACTAGAGGAGTTAGGGCACATTATCAGGATTTAAATTGCAAAGAAATGTCGTTATAAGCAGCTAGAGGCGCTTCCCTATTATTACCTGCTTAGAAGCACGCGAAAAAGCAATTTGCAATAGGAAAGCACCCCTAGTGGCATAAGATGGGATTTTGGGGCATGGGTTCTTTTGTAGTTTAAATTCTGATGATATGCCCTAACTACCCTGGAAGTTTGACACAGTATTTTTGCGAACTCCTGCTATATATAACGTTTTAAAACTTGCACACTTTGTCAAGAAAATTTCTTTCCAATATGAATCCCAATGAGTTGTAATTGTTAAAGGTTGAGAATCTTGAGTAACTCTCTAGTTTACAACTGGTCTTATATTAAAAAACATATCTTATATGATCAATAGATAAATTTGTGTACATAACCATTAAAAAAAATCTGCAATTTTACAACAATTTGAACTGAATTTGATAGATCTTTCGTAGAAATCAAAAATAGGTTTCTTTTTATTCGGATAACAAAAGCTACAGGAGCATTTTAAATATATTTTTCATTTTCATTTGTTCAAAAACGTTATTAGCTGCGCACAATAATGAAAGCTTATTTAAGGCTCGAATAAGTAAAACATTCATATATAGTTTTCGTTATAAAGTATAAATTTCTACACAACAATGTAGAAATTTTTAAAAAAAATGTCATATTTAGCAATTAGCAAAATTTTACTGAAAAAGAAACACTACACTGTATTTAGAGAATCTTTTTCTTGCGAGTTTTTTACCTTACCATAGGAAAAATTCCACAAATTTTGTCAAAATTTTCTCTAAACACAACATAGGGATCATTAGTTATCACAGTTAAAACCAAAAAATTTTCACAAAATGGTTCAACTTTGGTTTAAAGTGTAACTTTTTAATCTGCAAATCGACACTGATGTAATGTATTACAGTAAAAACATCAAAATAGGAATATTAGAAATTAGTAGATGCATTTTAAAATATGGCCCCACTGTGTTCATAAATCCACAATGCTTTATTTCTCTTTCTGTACTCTTTATCCATACCTAAAACGAAGTTTATCTTCTAACAGGTCATTTTAGGGGGTGGTCGGAGGTACTTGTTACCTCGTCTGAAGCAGAGTGATTCGATGAGTAAGAAGGAAGGAGAGGGACGCAGAGAAGATGGTCGAAACTTGATTGAAGAGTGGATAAAAGAAAAGAAGGCCAGAGGACTATCATACAAATACGTGGCCAGAAAGAAAGAACTGGAAAAGGTGGATCCACACAAAGTAGATTACTTGCTTGGTCAGTATCGAATTTGGGTAGGGATTCTCTTTTGGGGGAGAAAAAAATATAAACCAAAATAAATTCTATGAAAGAATCGGAGAAAATTTTATCCGGAATTAGATATGGCTTTGGTTGATTCCGTATGGAAAGAACACACCTCTTCGGGTTAGAAAATAAATTCGAGCTCTTTTATGTTTTAAAAGGGATCTATACGATACTTTTTTGTTAAAATACCACATGCATGTAAATTGGGAGAAACTAATTGAAATTCTCAAGCTATAACAAGTAATACGTCATCGAAATAATTTTATTATATTATAAAAGTGTAATCAAGGTAATGGGTACGTTCTTAAGATTGATGAAGTCAATAATTCAAAAAAATGTGATAATTTACCCGTTAAATAATTTATTGAATCGTTTAATGGAAGGAAATTTTCAGATCCTTAATGATTTACATCTGTCACGTTTACAGTGCTAAGAAATGAACTACCCTTAATAACTTTTGATCAAATAATGGGATGTTTACGTTCTAGGACTCAATCTTAATAGCTCAAAGGGGTGACTTTAAATATGCTAATCAATAATTGCAGACGATACTTTAAGTTACGAAATCAGACAGAAAAACGTACTTTCTCTGAACAAACATACCTTTTTTCGACGGATTCGGATTTCTGAACCCCAAAATATAGGGGGTAGCCTCAATCTCGAAAATATGAAAACAATCGTTAGTCAGGAGAGATTTCCAAAGTTTGGTCCTCTTAGTGTTAATTTTACTTTTTGAGTATTTCACCATATCTCGAGAGCTTTTGAAGCGAATTGAAGAATATTTCTAAACAATTATAAAATTCGTTTATCCAAAGATAATTCCATGCAAAAATGAACTAAACTAAAGATTTATATATTTTTTTTTAAAATTTCATTTAATAATGGTTGTAAAAATTTTGAATTGCAAGGTATTCGTTTGAATCATTTTAAATAATGCAAATTTACATGGCAAAATGTGAGCAAAATTGGTCGAATAGTTCCTGACAAATAGAGTTTTAAATACTATTTGATTTGAAGTTCCACAAGCTTTATGTCTTAAGCTCTGATTAGGTAACACCTTGCATGCATCGATAGTTACTGCCAGTTAAAATAAATATCCAACATCGATTCATTTGTCAAAATTAAATATTGAGGATTCCCCGTCTCCAAACCCTCGACAATTGAGAAAGGTCTCTATAATAGTGGTTTTTTTCCTTGTGTTAAGCTTCGAAAAATGCTATTAAAAAATTTTGTATGAAAAAAATTTATTACATTTGCTCACAGCAGTAATATATGTAAGCAATACCTGCGTATTTTCAATTATACTTTTCTAATTCAGGACTATTCACATCTGGACATATGGCGTACGAATCGGATCGTGATAAAGACAGCGAACCTTCACTTGCTCAGATGACAACAAAAGCCATTGAAATATTAAGGAGAAATTCTAGAGGTTATTTTCTTATGGTAGAAGGTAATATTTCATAAATTTATTTCAATTTCAGATAAATTTCACTCCTTCTAATAACTCCAGTAACTTTCAAGTATGTCCCTTTACTTCAGTTTTAACCCTCTATAGGATACAATAATTTATTCAAATTAACTCTATAAAAATGATCAAAAGAACGAAGGTATGATGTACAGGAGAAAATAGCGCTTAGTGTGTTAGCTTCTGTTCTTGACCGCACACAATAAAATTTACTGTCACCCACATTATGTAAGCAAAGAAATTAGTTTTTGCAATTTTTGAAATTATCAGAAAATTACAGCAGAACTCAGAGATGGGAAAACAACTTCCCATCCGCATTTAAAATTTAATTAGTTTGGTAGTAAATATACACTCTATATAGAGAAATTTCGTGTATTTGAACACCTAAAATGGGGGCAACTACTTTACACCAAATTGATGTTTCATTTAGTGTTCCACTACACGAAAACTAAGGGTAGTTCCATGTGTAGTAAAATACCTAAATTGCTCTTTTACATTATTTGGTGTTTGTAACACAGTAACACCGAAATTTATAATTGCAGTAAGATATGATACACATTAGAATCAGTAAAGTAGCTTTTACGATGCAATCTAAAGCAAGAATCATAAATTTAGGATGCATAAGTTATGTTCAATGTTTCTTAAAACAAAATTAGACTGTTAATCAAACATACACACATCACAGGCCGAATATGAATGTTAATTTGAACAAGCTGAAGTATATAGAAGTTAAATATTACAAAATTATTTCACACAATTGACAGATGTCAATTATATGAAAAAATAAAAATCATCATTATACAACTGAAACCATGCATGCATTTTATAATAGTTAATCTGAGTTGTTTTTTAAAGCAATCCGACAACAAAATTTAAATTACCCGACAAATAAACGACAGCAATTAATATTTTTTATCAATCAGTAACGAATATTGAAACTTGCTTCGTATTCACTAGGATTTAACTAGTCTGGGAATTAAATCCAACAAGAAGAACTCATATTTAACTAGTACACTTCTTTTAAGCAAGTCGCCATTTTGGCTGGCATGTTGACACTATCTTTAAATTGCACAATTATTCGTTCTTAACATCTAATAATGGTCTAAAATCATTTGTTTTACGCTTAAAACATGCCTTTCCATCATTTCACGCAAAGCATTTAGTTAAATAGTTTAAATATATGTTACTGTGAATGATCGAAATTGGTGGTTGTTGACTTCCACTTTACAATGTTGACTATCACATAGTCGTTTTGGTAAATGTCCGAAATATATAGTAGGTCTAATTAAGTGACACTGCTCGGTATGCTCTAGATCAGTGGTATCTGAACATTTTTGTCTTGTAGTTCTCTTGCCATGTTTTTCGGTTTTGGGTAGACCCCCTGCTTACCTAATATTGATTTTTTGTAAATTCATCAACTTCAATTGTATTTTTGACAGCTGGTATAGTGCTACTCACTGTGAAAGATTTAAATTTCTAACTGTAGTGAAGTGTAGCGTGGAAAACTTTGGAAAAAAACACATGTTAATTTTATTCATTCATTATTTAAATTCAAATTAATATAATTACTAATTTAATTTAATTAACATGTAAATGGAATAAAATAGTGCACTTTAAAACCCGTACTCCGCTACTAATATTATAATTGCGGAAATAAGTTTGTATACAAAGTCGTAATAGTGTATTGTCGGTTTGTTTATTACGTTTTAACGTAAAAACTAAGCAACAAATCTCCGTGATTTTGTGAGCAGATAAAATTGGAGGTCTAGCTAGCTAAAGAGTTGACACAGGCTAGGCTACAATTTACAGCGTACAAAATTTTTTTTTTGTTACAGAATAAAGCCTTACGCGCAGAGAAAATAAAAACGTACGCGGGCGGAGCTTCAGGCAACTGCTAGTTTATAATAATTCAGTTTCATATATCAAAAAATAATCCTAATAACTTACATTTTATTAAAATTTTTACTTCATAGTTACTTTTATAAATTATGTAGAATGTAGATAGATATGCCTTTATAAGGTAGTATAATGTAAGTAAATTGGTACTATCAGTGCATGTTCTCAGTGTAGTCACGACCTGCTTATATGAGATCCACTATCGTTGACCCCCATTTTCATTTCATAGATCCCTTGCAGGTGGTCGTCGACTCTTGGGGGTCTATATAGACCATTTAGGGAATCACTGCTGTTGATCAATGTTCATTTAAGGGTAAGTGCCACTGCCTGGTATACTTTTACCCGGTATGCCCTACTTCAATGTTTTTTAAGGTTCAGTGCCACTGCCGGTATACATTTGTCCGGTATACCCTCCATAAATGTTTTTTTAAGGTCAAGTACCCCGGTATGCATTTAACCGGTACTCCGAACACTTACATTTACGGTAATATATATGCTTCGGTGAAACACCGAAATCTGGAGAATATCGACATTCACCGGTGAATGTCAACATTCGCGTAGTCGCTTGGTGTATGTCCGAAATATTTGATTAATACACTTATTTCTGACTCTCACCGGTGAATGTCAATAATCGCATAGTCGCTTTGGTGAATGTCCGAAATATTTGTTATATCCAATTTTATATTAATTTATTCGCTAATATTATTATATTTATTTGATATATTTATATTTATTCTATATTTTAATACTTACTGACGATAGATTAGAAGAAACATCAGTGTTTGGAGTACCGGGCATATGTATACCGGACAGTGGCACTTAACCTTAAAAAAACATCAGTGTAGGGTATACCGGGCANTGGTATCTGAACATTTTTGTCTTGTAGTTCCCTTGCCATGTTTTTCGGTTTTGGGTAGACCCCCTGCTTACCTAATACTGATTTTTTGTAAATTCATCAACTTCAAATGTATTTTTGACAGCTGGTATAGTGCTACTCACTGTGAAAGATTTAAATTTCTAACTGTAGTGAAGTGTAGCGTGGAAAACTTTGGAAAAAAACACATGTTAATTTTATTCATTTATTAATTAAATTCAAATTAATTTAATTAAATTCAATTTAATTAAATTCAAATTAATTAAATTCAAATTAAGTAAATTCAAACTAATTTAATTACTAATTTAATTTAATTAACATGTAAATGGAATAAAATAGTGCACTATAAAACCCGTATTCCGCTACCAATATTATAATTGCGGAAATAAGTTTCTATACAAAGACGTAATAGTGTATTGTCGGTCTGTTTATTACGTTTTAACGTAAAAACTAGCAACAAATCTCCGTTATTTTGTGCGCAGATAAAATTGGAGGTCTAGCTAGCTAAGCTAAAGAGTTGAGACAGGCTAGGCTACAATTTATTTGCGGAAAAATTCTTTTTTGTTACAAAATAAAACCTTACACGCAGAGAAAATAAAAACGTACGCGGGCGGAGCTTCAGGCAACTGCTAGTATATAATAATTCAGTTTCATACATCAAAAAATAATCCTGTGACCAATCAGCTGATTGGTTTAAGCAAATTACACATTTTGAAGTGTGGAAAAATGCTCGATTCGGTATTAGCCTGGAATAAAGTAATAATTCATAAAATTTTTAGAGTTTTTCAACAAAAACTTCGGATGGATGTTACATCACATCATCGAATGCGATCCAAGCATAATCAAATTTTCTTCAATCTGTGTACACAAAACTTAAATAATATCAATAACTATTCATTCATTTTTTCAACAAAATATCAAATTTAGCATGCAAAACATACTGGCTTTGCATAAACTTTGATTTATTACGTTTTATTTGGAAAAAAAATTGCTCAATGTCTACGAGTCTAGAAATATAAACGATCAAACTGAAGCCTTTTTTTAATAAAATTGTGCTTCATTTAAGATAAAATTTAATTTGATTTGTTTGTAAGGAAATAAACTAGTCATTGAAAAATGAGTGTAAATATTTCATATTAAAGGAAGGCGAAGATTTTTATTTGTAAGAAGAAGTTCTAGTTTATTATATCTAAGAGTTTTTCGGTCCCATTAAATTCCAAACTTACGCAATGGCTGCGGGGCAATTCCACGAAAACAGCGAATTGGATTGTCAATTTTGAAAACTTGTTTATATGAATGTGTTTGGTATTTATTAAATTTAAAATAGTTGAATAAGAAATAAAATTTTATCTTTATCGCAGTGGTAACACGTCAATTTAAAAGTAGCTGCTGTTTGCTAGAAAGTTAGACGAATTTTTGAGCAAGTTTTGATTTATTATTTTCTATTAAGAAAAATCAGTTGTATGTTTTGAAAATCATCTTTGTTAGGCTAATTATTTTTTATTTACATTTTTTTGATCTGTTAATTTTTTAATTGGTATCCTTGCATTTCACGAAAATTATAAAATATTATTTCTGTATCCCACATGGGAAATTAAAAATGAATTGTTATTTTCGTGAGTAAAAAAAAAAAATTTTTTTTTATTATACGGATTTTAGAAACAGAAGAGCATAATTCTACATATTTTATTCTACTTAGAGAAATAATAAAAATCTGCCTATTTCAATCTACTCAGAGAAATAATAAAAATCTGTCCCGTCGGGACAAACAATTTTTTAATTCTTATTGATAAACATTAATTTAATGCATGTACATACATATCAATAAAAACATATTTATTAATAAAATAAATTACCATTGCAACATGGTTTGAAATTTGTGATGATTACTTTTTTTAAAAATCAATAATATGCATTAGATTCAAATCGTGTAAGTCCCGCAGTAGACTGATAGTAAAGACACGGTTCCCAGTAGAACACTGAAGTCAGGTATCTCTGCCTGTGGTCAATAAGAGGGTGAGTGACCACTTAAATAAGCCTGCGTAAGAACCAAAGGCGCGCGGTTCTACCGTAAAGTGCTCGACTTAGCACGCACGTCGTTGGGCTACCAAAGCAGGGGATTCATCCTCTCTGTAGAGGATCAAAATTCTGATGGCATGTCCTTGGATCATCGTCAGGGGTGTTTCCCAGACCGTCGCCAATAGCCCATTGTGCAACTCTAGTGTGACGTAAATAAGGTACCTAAAGTACTTATCTACCAATCGTGTAAATTCCAGATTTTCTGGATAGTTCCCGATTTATTGGCAATCTTTAGTTATTCATTTTGTTAGGTTATCTGAAATGATAAACTCTGTTGAATAGTTAGTTATAAGTTAAGCATTTACTTAGAATAATTTTGTATTTTATAGAAATAAAAACTAAATTAGGAAGCAATTTTTTAGATTTATTTTTGTTTCTTTCTGAAATGACTGTAGAAATTGAAAATATAAACGGTTCTAGAGTGCCTCATCATGTTTTACTACTGCGTATTATACTTACCTTTTTCGAGCAGTAAGTCAATAGTTTCGAACAAAAATGTTAGAATCAAAGAAGGAGTTGCAGAATTGAAATGTTTAAATACAGTTCTGTATATTCAGCTTCATTGCCATTAAAGTTTATGTGTTGTACAAGATAATTTTGAAAGCTAACCAAGCTGGTCGCCAAAAGAGGCTAAATCATTATAAATTCAATTTTGTGTTATTATTACATATTTTTTATTTTCTGCCAGTTATTTTAACATGAAATATTATGTTCTGCAGGAGGTCGAATTGATCACAGTCATCATTTCAACAATGCACACCGGGCTTTAGTGGACACACTGGCATTTGAAGACGCAATCATTGCAGCGTTGGAAATGACACGAAAGGATGAAACATTGATGGTGGTCACATCAGATCACTCTCACGTTTTTGTATTCGGAGGTTACCCTAAACGAGGAAACCCTATTTTTGGTAAGCACAGTTATTTAATTGCGCATAGAAAAAGTATTTTTATTAGCACTCGTAAACTAATAACGCTGTAATACATTAGAAATCGGGACACTAACATATCAGTACTGATAAAAAAACATAAAACCTGTTTGATTGCGGAATGAAAAGAGAGGAGTTGAAAGGCGATTACATTAGGTAGTTTGTTACATTTATACAAATACTTGATCTTGCCTAATGAGGTTCTGGTACGAGGGGACTTTAAATATAAAATTAGTTTTGCTCCTAAAGCAACAGATGTTTATTGAAATGCCATTTTAGTTTATTTTTTGTCGAAATGTACAATTTTAAAATTGTTCTGTAAAACAGGGGAACGCATAAATGGTACGAATAACTTCTTGAAGAATTAGGACACTTCATCAGAATTAAAACTGTATTGGAACCCAAAACCCGGAAATGTCGTTCCCCGCAGCAAAGGACTCCTTTTTGTCATGACCTATTCAGAAGCACAGGAAGAAGCAGTTTATAACAAAGAAGCACCTCTAGCGGCGTATGACGTTTTCGAGTATGATTTCCGATTCAATTTTAATCCTGATGATAAGCCCTAACTCCTCTAGAAATTGGTCGCAATATGTATGTGATCTCTTGTACGTTTGTACGACGTTCTCAATCTTGTAAATTTCGACAAAAAAAGGATTTAAAATATCATTTTAAAAAAACGAAGCTAGGAAAAAGAAACCAATTACACATTTGAAATCAGCAATTTGAAGTTTTTTAAGATTTGTTAAAAAAATCGCATGCAACAGAAAACGAATAAGAATTGTTCCCCAGTGTCATTAGAGACACAGTCCAAAGTTTCATCAGAGAATCGAACTAAATTTAACGTTATTCATCCCATCTTCTTCACTAGTGATTCGGCAGAATGAGACAGAGCTTCTGTTTCTTCCGTTTAAAATTTTTAAGCGGGCTCTAATCTGCATACTTTCATGACTTCATTTGTAAGACGAATTAAAAATTATGTATTAAGAATTGTGATTATGAATGATTCCGTATAATATGATCTTATAGTTATTTCCTCATTTAAATAACAAAATGAAAGTATGATAATCAAGATCCTAGTGTAACAATAAAATAAAAAAACAATCAAAAATCATTCAAAATGTGGTTTAATGAAAGTTGAGAAAAAAATATGGTCAAAACTTCTAGAATATGGTGAAATTTACTGTTTTTCTGGCTCTATGGGAACACCAAAAATTACGGACAGTTTTGCCGAGGCACTTTGGTAATTACTTTTTGAAAATTAGCGCTAAAATACGATTTTATTATCATGCTGTTTGGTAGTAGATTTGATAAAATTTGGTAATTTTATCATTATACATTAGAGCACGGTATAAAAACTATTTATTCGGTTGAATTTACTTATCAGTTTTGTATTTTTGCTGAATGAAATGTGTGATAGCAAGAAAGATAATTTTGAAAACAGTTACGATACAATTGAAATAAGTACCAAATAAATTATTTGAATACCATGAATGTTGGTTACGTTTGGAAAATGTTTTCTTTCTTTTTTTTAGTTGCAAATCCGTTTTAAATTATATCAGAAGTACCACGGAGTCTTTATTTTTAAATCTAGATTAAGAGTAACTATTCTTTGTTGTCAGATTCTTGATACTTCTATACATTGTCTATCAGATTTCAGTCGAAATCTCAAAATTGACTCCACTTAGCATGCTTTCCCACTAAACAGTTCCGTGCAATGTTATATAGAACTGGTAGCTTCCATTTTATAGTAATAAGAATATCTCAAAACATCTATCACTTTCAAGAGATAGATGTTAACAATAAATTCATATATTATTTTTCTGACTGACCATGGAATGCATTATAGGTCTTGATGATAAACCTTCTGACGTCGATGGCTTACCATATACAACCCTTATTTATGCAAATGGACCAGGTTACAATCAGAATTCTCAAGGAGGCCGTGAAAATCTTACTTCTATTAACACTGGTAAGATTTTGTAGTTTTTAATGCTTAATAATACTTAATAACAACTTAGTAATAAATAGCCTAATAATACTTTATAATAACAATTTCCTAACCAATATTTTGAAATTATTTCAAAATTTACGCTTTTTGCTGGATAAGAACTAAATACTAAGCTATAACTAACTAAGTATAACTAAGCTATAAACAATACTAATAAGCTATTATGGGGTGAATTTATTCGATGGCATTTGCTGCTCATACAGTTGATACAAACATGTTAATCAGAACATGCGAATTCCTTAAAATGCTTTCTGAACTTCAAAGTTACGAGAAAAATAACTGTATCAGTTCCAGAAATTTAATTTAAGGATCATATTCTACATTGCAATAAATAATTTAGATCGACTACTTTAATTAAGGAATTGGCACATAGCGCAAATATTTTTAATCCTAAGCAGTTCTTTGAAAACATAAGTGTAATGTAAAATTACTCGTGTTACATTGTGAAATTACTAAAGATATCATATTTTCAACTGTTTTCTTCCTTCATATTATAGCTATTTATTCAGGAAAACGCTTCAACGAAAAGTTTAGAAATTACGTACACTGAAATAAATCGGTTTTGTGGGTTTTAAACTTAACTAATTGTTGTGCACAATTTATAAATTATTGAATTGAATAATGTCCCAAAATACTCAAAAGATTTGAAATTTTATGGCATTTTTGCAATATGTTACCAACATAATAAACGAGAACGGCTAAGCTGGTAATTATACACGTGGGAATTAAAAATGAAAGGTTACAAATATATAAGGGCATTTTCCTTGTTCAATATTTTTTAATTATTTCTTGGTCATGTAATATTTTATTTTGGTGATCAGAATTGGTCGCTCAGACCCTGCAATATAATGCCATAGGAGTTTCTATATTTAAATCTATAAGTTTTACGTCAACAAACTCACATTCACAAAAACCTTAAGTGAAGAAATTAAGCACTATGGCAACAAACTTTAGCAGATAATCTTTACAAAATAGTGAAGAGTTTTGCCAGAAAAACCATAAAGACCCTTTATCTGATTCCATATATAACCCGATACACTTTTTTGTTAAGAATCAATGAAAAATATTCATAAATTTTAATACCAATCTCTATTCTCTATTAAAATGTCTTCTTTTGTAAATTTTGAGATTTCCTCTATTATTAAGGCTATGTATATTTCTCATCCGATTTATTTTCCTACAATGTGAGACGCCCTGCATTATTAAGACTATTAATATTTCTCAACCGATTTATTTTCCTACAATGTGTGACACCCTGCATTATAGAGACTATTAATATTTCTCATCCGATTTATTTTTTTACAATGTGAGACACCTTGCATTATTAAGACGATTTATATTTCTCTTCCGATTTGTTTTACTACAACGTGAGACACCCTGCATTAATATGACTATTAATATTTTCCATCCAATTTGCTTTCCTACAATGTGAGACACCCTGCATTTTCAAGACTATTACTATTTCTCAACCGATTTGTTTGCTTACAATGTGAGACACCCTGCATTATTAAGACTATTAATATTTCTCAACCGATTTCTTTACTTACAATGTGAGACATCTTGCATTATTAAGACTATTAATATTTCTCAACCGATTTCTTTACTTACAATGTGAGACACCATGCATTATTAAGACTATTAATATTTCTCTTCCGATTTGTTTTTCTACAACGTGAGACATCCTGCATTAATATGACTATTAGTATTTTCCATCCGATTTGGTTTCCTACAATGTGAGATACTCTGCATTTTCAAGACTATTACTATTTCTCAACCGATTTGTTTTCTAACAATGTGAGACACCCTGCATTATTAAGATTTAATATTTCTCATCCGATTTGTTTTCTTACAATTTAAGACACCCTGCATTATATTAAGACTCTTACTATTTCTCATTCGAATTGCTTTCCTACTATGTGAGACACCCTGCATCATTAGGACCATCAATATTTCTCATCCGATTTGTTTTCCCAAAATGTGAGACGCCCTGAATTTTTAAGACTATTATCATCTCTATCCCCCAGTTCATTACTATTGTGAACGCTTGAACTTGATCTTGTAAAGTAGAACTTGATCTTGTAAAAAATTTTGTGAAGTAGGCCATTGAATCACGTTCATAACACGTTTACATAACGGCAGTACATAACACATTAAACACATTACATTAAACGGCAGTACATAACACATTTATACGAAAAATATTTGCAACATTTAAAAAAGAATGCATATTTCAATGGAATGAAATCGTTTTTACATTAATATTGAAAGCAGGTACTATGACTAATTAATATTTTTTACTGCCTCACGTTGAAGTTAAAAAAGCGAATTACATTCGAATATAATAAATGCATCCAGAATAAATTTAAAAGGTAAAAAGCAAAATTTATCAAAGGAAAAAATACTAATGTAAAGAAAAAATAAATAAATTCCAAATTCCCATTCTAAACTTTTATTGCACTTTGGGAAAACTAAAATATCTTTTTTGCAAAGCACGTTTGATATCCATTTGCATTTTACTTTTTTATTCAATTTAAAGTATTAAAATTATTTCGTTAAAATTGTTTTTTTGCATCCGTGAGTTTCATAATTTATGGACGATATGAATATAAAATTCGAAAAAATAATTTAAAAATATTTTTTTTTATTCGTTCATAACTATTTGAATCTTTCTATTCGTACGTGGAACTATTTGAATTCGGTTTAATCCCAAACAATTTAAAGCTAAGTCTACTAGAAATCATTACATTTTTCGACATAATTATGGAAGTAGTATATTTGTACGGAATCTAGATATCTTGAATTTTCTAATATGCAGTTTGTAAATGTTTAAAAAGCATTTTTAAATTTAAGAAAACATAAGTAAGTTTTTATTAATATGTTTATCTTTTTGAGGAAGTTGAATTAAATTTACTTTGACTTTTTAATTTTTGAAGATACAATTAAACGCATGATTTCCGACATCAGTAGATAAGTTTAAGACAGGGAATACTTATTCAAAACTGAAACTAATTATGATCAACGTTTTAAAATCTCAAACAGTAATATTTTATTAAAACCTATGCACACTTTGTTGTCACATAGTAAGACAAATGGCAGAAAAAGTAAAACAAAGTTGTAATTTTACAGAAGATACATTATGATAAAGAGATAGATTTGCATTAAGAAAAGCTGCAACATTAAATTAACAGTGAAAATAAAATAAAAAATAGAAAAATAATGTTCCAAATAAATTTAAAAAATTTTATTCTCACCGTTAAGCATTAATGAACTACTACTTGAACTTGAGATGTTCCTATGTAACACCAATATGCGTATGAGTTTAAATTAAAGTAAATAATTGTAAACTAAATAATTTTAAAGTAAATAATTTTAAAGTAAATAATTTTAAAGTAAATAATTTCAAAGTAAATAATCGTAAAGTAAATAATTGTAAAGTAAATAATTGTAAAGTAAATAATTGTAGAGTAATTAATGTTTTAAGTTTAATGTTTGTAATGTTTTAAGGTAGTTTTAATCAAATTCAATTTTATCATAAAATATAACTTTCATTTTATGATCAAAAGTGCCTCGTTTATAATATAGCCTGTCTAAATTTTTTATAGTACTGAAGGCCTAAAAGTAATATGTTTAGAAGTCTAAAAAGTACACAATCAAGTCTAAAAAGTTCAATACCCGTACTATACAACACTTTTTCTGACAATGACAGGAAAACAGCAAAATGCATTAAATTTTTCAAAACTGAAAAAGGTTACTTTTCAAAACAAAACAAAAAAAAATTCAGCTAAATATTTTTGCTTATGCTGTACATTTTTTTTGAAAAAAATCTAACTTTTATAACCTTAATACAATCACTTATTATGTCTTTCTTTAACGCAGAAGACAAAAACTATATACAACAAAGTGCCGTTCCAAGAAGATGGGACACACATGGTGGGGAGGACGTGCCAGTTTATGCTGAAGGACCTATGTCACATCTGTTTCGAGGCGTTTTTGAACAAACATACGTGCCGCACGCACTGGCCTTTGCCTCATGCATCGGACCACAGAAAGATGACTGCGAGCGAAGGAAACAAACCTATCAAAGACACGTCATAGAATGTCCCTCGCCTCACGTTGTCAGAGAAGTTCTTGCCTATAGGTCCGACAGTTATCGAGTGTTGTCCACTTTCCTGAGCGTTACTCTTGTAATCTTCACGGTTATTGGAAATCGAAGATCGTGATAAAGTAGCCATTCGAGGACATGTAAACTGTTACCAGGAGTATTGATGTAGATCCTGAAATTGAAAGTATATTTGTGAGATATCGGTTTTTTTCATTGTACTTAATAATTGTTTCGGTTGTATGTTGAACCTTGATATTGTACGATGTTGTTGTATATTTTGATATAAATATCAGAAAAGTGTTGTAAATACTTAATAAATAAATAAATTTATTGTTAAGTTTCTTCAATTTCGGCCACTGCATATCATATTTCCTGTTGAGTTTTCTATGATACTTTAGTGTTTTCCGTATGAGCTTCGCATTTTTAAAAATTTTCGAAGTGTATTTAAGTTTCAATTTTAACAGCTAAAAATCTAAGATTCTAAATTCGGTAGCTTTGCTGGCAAACTTCGACAGCTAAGTTCAAAAGCACAATTAAATTAATAAAGAGAAGCAGAATATATCCCTTACTAAAATAATAAGGAAATTCGTCTTATATAATTCCCCGTAGGTTAACATAGAGAAAGTAAAATCGCTTTTTTGTTTTAAAAAGACCCTTAATATGTAAAATTTACTGATCTCTACTAATATATTTCGGTTAGTAAACGTGACATGTAGGTCTGTCTTCAATTGTGAAGTTACTACAGATAAATTAAACCTTCCCGTGAAATAACGATATATTTATAAATATACACCATTAACTAAATATAGGGTACGTAAAAATTTTGAAATAAAATGAGTACCAATCATGTTTGGTGACTAAACATTGGATCTTTCGTGTTCGCGGCTAACCATCCAACAGATTCAACTGCTCCGGTACCTCAGTACTCAGGGTCAAGACAAACGGGAATTGCATTGAAGATCTTGACCCTCCATGGGTTGTTGCGCCACTGAGTTTACTTTATTTAATGAGAAAATATTCTAAATTTTAATACACATTATTGTACCCTAATTTTTGAAAGTTTTCAACTTGAACTTAACAGCAGTACAGTTATATCTTTCCACATATCATTTTATTATAAAAGAAAATATGTTTCTTAGATAGTATTTGCGTTGATAAATGTATTCAAAACCGAGAAATATGTTTAAAAACGAAAATTACATCAGTTTAAAGTTCTCAAAAGGAAATAGTTCTTGGAGTTTGATGGAAAAGCAATAAAGGAAATATAATAAAAAGAAAATTCATAAAACTAATATATATATAATAATCAGAGCCTGCGATAATGATTTCAAATTATTAGCCAGTAAATTAGCCAAATATCAAAAATATTTGCCAATTTTCGAAAATCTTTGCCAAATGCAAATCTTAAACATTTTTATGGTTAGTTTTTTTCTCCACAGAAAACTATTTTACGGTCTTTTGTTTCAGGCTTATATTATTTGGACCCATTTTGAATTGGTTATGTGGTGCCTCTGCCGAAAATAACTGGACCCGAATAAAAAAGAAAAATTCATTTGGACGTAATTTTTAGGATCAAGTTAAATCTATATATATTTCTTTCCACTTTAAAAAATCATCCTCCAATACTTTCGCAAAACTTTTTTTAAGAACTCACTCACATTTCACAATTCCTAATGCAATAAATAATGATGTAAGACAAAATATAGTTAGTTTCTTCACTATTACAAAGAAGCTCTGCTAATTCTACGCAGCCTCCAAATTTTGTAACAAAGAAAACTTTTTTGTTGAAATGTGACAAAAAGATGAATTTTCTTACCGAAAAGTTTGAAACTTTTTTAAAAGTTTAAAACTTTTTAATACTATGATACAACAATTACAAAATGAAAAGTTCAAAAACAATTTAATTCTATTATCATCCCGTAACCATAAACCTACAATGATGACAAATAACAAAAAATATTATAAAATATATTTATTTAAAAAATCAATAGAACGTTATTTACTTATCTTCATTAATATTTAATTAGTAATATTTTAAAGTGGTTCTCATTTATGCAGCAGTTTACAGATTAGATGAAATTAGTAGAAAAATTTTGAAACTCATAAAAATTCCATTCTCATGATTTTATTTGAATAATTCGTACTAAAAAAATGCTACACAAAAAAATGGAAAATATGTAAAAGGTCAATGTTTGCGAACGTTTAGTTTTTCATTTTAAATACTGTATAAAAAATGTATTTTCGTTGTGTAAACTTAAAAATCTCATAACTTTATGAGTTTACACAGGGGGTTCAAATTTCTAATTACACTGAGAATTCCTTTTTTAAAACTTATTCGTATTTTGCGGATTCTAATTATTTGGAAAAAAATAACTATCGAAGATATTTATTTTTTGCAGTTCATTTAGATTATTTTTAAAAGTATATTCAATAGCATAAGAGAAAAATGATCGAAGTATATTTTGCTCCAAATAAAGAGTTCTTTTTTTAGTGTGCACAAACAGATTACCTAATTTTTGTAGATGAAAATTGTTTAAAAAACGTCTTACAAGCTTTTTGTCAACTACAAATAAATATAGAGATGGTTGCTAATGCAATTTTTTTTATGAAACACGATGCTGACTTATATAAGAAATATATTTCAAATTAAAAATATTTCAAGCAACAAAAAGAAAATTTATTTTTGAAAACTATTTGAGCGATGTTTTTCAAAAGCAAGTAGAAAATGACAATTTCGTATTTCGTACCGTAACATTTGTTTGCAACAAAATATATTATTTGCATTTTATTTATATGCATGCAAGTCGTTCCTTATTGTTCCCAGCAAAAAAAAGAGGGGGAAAGGAAACTTCACTAGTAGATCGACATTTTTTAGGCTTCAATTTCCGGAAAGAAGCAGACCTCAAGAAATTGCATTTTATTTTTGATGTAACAAATAAGTTACGTACCATACATAACTTTTTTTCCCGATTTATCAACATATAATTTTTTATTAAACGATATTTATCTTTGAAATCCTTATTGAACTTGAGAAATTTGTGGAAAAAAATCTTGTCATATTCCAAGACAGAACCACTACATTGCATTGTCCGCCTAACTTTAAAACTTAATTTATCGATAGCAATATTGCCATCAATTAAGTTTTCAAATTTACATATATTGGACAAAATAATTACAAAAAAGTACTATAAATATTTCTGTTTCAAGATAATTATGACTATTCTTTCGTAAGAAAAGGTTTTCATACGTATCTCACGTTGCAAAATCTATAAAAATCGTACCCTAGTTGATAATAAATGATCAAAAACCATTAATAAAATTAACCTGCTGTTTTGTTGGAATCTAATTGACACGAAACGTTTTTGACAGCTTATAAAAAATGACTCAATAAAGATAATTGCTTGTCTTATCTTCACTCAATACGTGATGATAATGTATGATAACTCCAAAAATAGTTTCTGTTTTTATTATTCACAGTATCTTCTTAAAACTACTTCCTATGAATTATTCGGAGCAATATGAACTGAACTTATTTTTACTGATTCTATAACCTGAAAGCAAATTATTTTTCGCACTTCTACCTCATCAATGTGGCACGAATACGCTGTTGTGTTACTGTAAGCCGCTACGGCGCAGTAACACAAATTGCGAAAGGCAGCAAGATTATTGATTCGAAAGATTCGAACCCACTACATCTGCGCTTCAGTGCGTTCAGCGAAACAGCAATACTTCAGGGTAAGATGCAAGTAAAGCAATCATATATTATTGGGGTCTCCATTGTCGCGTGGTGTGTCATTTCGCTCGAAGCTCTGGAGCGTAGACAGGTAGCGGGTTAATATCATTGTGCTGTTCTTCTTATTTCGGTGGTATTTGTTTTTCAATTTGATAAGAAACAAGGCATTCTTCACATTCAGCACAAGAACCTAGTTATTTATCTAAATCAAATTTATTAACATACTGTTGCAGATACAGGGTTATACTTTAATTTGAACCCGCTAGCTGCATTTTAAGAGGCGCTAAGTGAAAAGATGAGACTGCGATAAAAAAAAATAATTACAAAAAAAACATTATGATTGCAAGAATTTTTATATTGTTTCACATACATATGTAGGTTTGTGTATTCATTGAAAAGTACGACTTATTTTAAGAAACAGATTGCTCAATCTAAAGAAGTCCCGCAGTGCACTGATCGTTAAGACACGGTTCCCAGCAGATGGGGCCTCCCTGGCCGAGCGGTATCGCCGGTCCAAACGCTGTTAAGCGTGGAGGTAGCGGGTTCGAATCCCGCCGTAACCCTGGATGTATTCTTTGTGATGTCTTTCTCTGAATTGTTCTATCTGTATTTTCTACTTGACAATGACTTATAAGCCTATNGGGTGCCATCCCCTCTGCAGAGGATCAAAATTGTGATGGCATGTCTTCGGATCATCTAGAGGGATGATTCCCAGGCCGTCGCCAATAGCCCATTGAGCAGCTCTAGGGCGATCTAAATGAACTACAACTACAACAACAACAAACTAAAGAAATACCAAATGTGCATTTATAGTAAAGTGGAAGTATCGGGTTCGAATCCCTCCGTGTGCCTGGATATATATGCTTGCGATGTCTTACTTTATCTTGTGCTATCTGTATTTCGACTTAAGGGCATATAATCCGTGCTTTGTACTGAGCAAACATACCTGTGTATGTGTGAGTAACAATAAATAAAGAAATATTAATAAATAAAGAAATATTATTAAATAAACAAATATTAATAACTAAATAAATGTAAATAAATAGATGTATCCAGAGTTGAGGTTGAATTTGAACCCTCTACCACCATGCTTCCAATTAAGAACATTGTGATAACCCTGATATGTTACAGTTAAGCTATAAAACATACCCTCCCTGAAATGCACTATTATTGTTTCTAAAACAGCAGACGGCCTCAGACTTTGTGGCGGAGGGGGAGTTCTTACCGTAGACAAATTATACTGCTTTATAACAGTGTTGTCCAGACAGGTAGGTACTTTATTTACGTCCCTCTAAAGCTGCTCAATGGGCTATTTGCGATAGTCTGGGAAAAATCCCGAAGACATGCCATCAAAATTTTTGTGAGACCGCTTCCTCAATTTAGACATATATCTGAAGAAGAAGGAAATTTTCTCCAGATCCCTGTAATCATGATACTGCTCGGCGACTAACCACAGGACTTTCAATTCTGCAGATTTTGCGATGCATATATCTCATGTACTCGGAAGGTCTAAGCGGAGTCAAGGATCGAATTCCTTGTCCAGGCATTTTTGCGTTTGCAATTGCACATTTTTTTTATAATTTTAAAGATTAGTAGA